GGGGGTCACTGGGCTGAATCTCATCATGTGGAAAGGAAAGGGGGGAGGGGGGGCGATAGTCGCTAGAGACAAGGCTGAAGCGCCTTGGCCAAGGTGAAGGTTAAGGTGTCGCGCGTGTTTAGGTGTGTCACACTCACTTACTTACGCATCGCAGACACCCTGTCGGTATGCCGCACACTTTGCGTTTGCGCGGACGTTTTGCGAAAGTTTTCTTGCTCATTTTGTGAGGGGAACTCTACAGGGATGCCAATGAGAGAGAATCGGTTGTGGGGTTGTCTTGATAGAAATAGGCCCCCAGAGCGATTTTCAGCGCACCGCGAAAATTTTTCCCGCCTGCGGCGGGTCAGCTAAGAGCGTCAGCGGACGGGTCGGCTGAGGAGGGATCTGCGAGAGCTGCAGCAACTTGATATATCCGCCTAGCGAAGATTCGCTGACTTTGAACAATTATTGCAGAGTTCCACATGGATGGCTGCTTTGGATTTTCATTCCGATAGCTCATATTTCCTAACTCGTCTAGCTCAAAGTGGATTGGGATCCTAAGGGTGAATTCAATAATATCCGTTAAATAACCGATGTCTTCTTCAATATAGTCATACTATAGAGGACTGATACAAAGGAAAGACGAAAAAACCTGTAAGTCAAACTATTGCTGATTCTCTTTCAGATGATGAATTGACAACAAAGCATGACGACAATGCCAAACTTTTGACAATCAAGTGGTCATTCGGTGGGAGGGGAGAGGCACAGTCCAAATGTCCAAATTCACTCGTAATGTGGCTTACAACTTTCGTCATATTGGCGCGCCCAGCTCCCTGCTCCCTTGTGTGGACTGGCGGGGCCGCTTTCACACAGGCAGACGAAACGCAAGGCCGTCGGAGGTCACTGGCCCAGTCCCGCGCCTGTCCCCACCCCTTTCCCAAATCGGAAAAAAAAATCATGAAAAAAACAACAACAAAAATGTCCTTTCCTTTGTTAACCAAGTCCAAGTAATTAAACTCTACACCCCTTTTTATATTTTTATAAAATTAATGTACCAAACGTCTTGAGTGTCGTTTCCTCGTTCCTATTCTACGTGAGCAAAAGGGGGCCAGGATCCAAATATCATGGGGTCCCAAAAAGACCTCATGATATTTGTACTCCCCCCCCTTAAAGTCACACGGTATACTACTTATGGTAACGCCCGCAGCAGGCGTGCGTGCGGCACATGCGGTGGTGGTGGCTACGTACTCTTTGGCACTGGTTGAGCAGAAGGGAGGGAAGGACCGGCTCTGACTCTCGCGCGCTGACAGCTCCGTCTCGACTGCTCGGCCCGCGGGCGGGCGCGCGCCTCTAAAAGCAAACAGCTCCGCCGCTGCCGGCCGCGCCCCAAAGCCTCAGCCGCTTGCTGCTGCTGCTGCTGCTCAGCCAGAGCGCCTCCTCAGCCGCTCAGCAGCGCGCCGGTGGGGCTCGTCGAGCCACAACAGTCCCCATGTGATGGGGGGTCAGGCCTAGTCAGGCCGTCGTGGTGGGGGCGGGGCGCGCGAGGAGGAGGGGCCGGCGGCGGCCTTCCCCCGCGGGGGCGCGAGGTTAGGCGGCCCCGACTATCGTGTCGTTGTGAGGTACTACACGACGGTACGCGACGAACGCGGCTCCAACACTGTGTGACTTTGAGAGAGGGGGGGTACAAATACTACGGTGTCCCGAAACGGATCAGGATGATCGTTGGAGTCGAAGAAGATCCCATGATATTTGTATCTCGGGGTAAAAAAAAATATCACGGGCGAAAGAAAGAAAAAAAGTCATCCGCTCAAAAGTAAACGACGTTGAAATGGGCCCGGACCTAGCTGAGGAAGCATGCGCGATAGGCTGGATGAAATGAATCCAGACCACAAATCATGTATCGACTAAAAAAAGTAAAGCCACGAAAGAACGTACCTCGCATTAGCACCGTAATAAACAAAACAAATTTAGTACTTTTGCTATAAGAAACATTTGAATATGAGAAATCGCGTTGATACTGCAGATAGCGTGAAGTTTCTTATTCACAGTCATGGTTCTTCGGGGGGGTGGGGGAGGGGGGGTTGATGTCTTGATGATGTTGATGTAGTAGTGAGTTGACTGTACCTTGGTGTCGTTGCAATCTGCTCATCCCGTACGTGATTCATCATTGACATTCCGACTCGAAAACCACAACAATACGAGTGTCGAAGACTGCACTTGAGTGCTCTGTGTCTACTGTCAAAGTTCTTTCACCATGGCTGGTCGCAACTACTTGAGCAACCCAAACGGTTCGTTTTTCTCTGTTGAGGATGATGATGTCGACGATGACACATTTTTGAGAAATTCCAGACAGGCACAGAAGCTTAGGGAAATAGAAGATCGTGCGCTTAGGTCAGCCCAACAATCTATAAGCATATTGCGGGAGACTGAAGACATTGGAGTGAAGACTGCTGAGGTTAGTATGTTGGCCTGATTCTCCTTGCCCACCTCGGTATTTGTGCAACGTATATAAATTGAAATTCTTTGCCTCTTCATTTAAAAGTTTGCATGTTGTTTTAATCAAATTATTAGTAATTTATATGTCTATAATTATTTTCAGCCATTATCTGTCGAAACAAAGTAGACTAGTTTGATTGACTGTTATGTAATGTTACAGGAGTTGATGATCCAGAGAGAGAAACTAGAGCGCACTGAGAAGAATTTGGACGACATCAATACCACTCTCCGATACAGTCAAAAACATATTAATGGAATCAAGGTAACAAGCATTTGAGTTTTTATTATTATTAGTAGATCATGTATCTGAGGTTCGTAACTTGATCTCAAATCATTTACTCGTTCTTCACAGAGTGTATTTGGAAGTTTGAAAAACTATTTTAGTGGACGCGCAGACCAGAAGCCTGGTCAAAATGACCCTCCGAGTTCGAGTAGTACCAGTAACAATGCTGCTGAAAGTTCTTCTGGATACTCTGCTTCAGCGAGCCGCAAACTTACTGAAGCATTAGAATACCAGCCTCCTTCTCAAGGAGTCCACCCTGGTTGGTATTTAACTGGTGATTTCAAATCACTTGGATTATCAGTACTTTGTCTTTGCTAGTATTCCTGTCCTGTTCCTTACTACTATAACTGATACACATAACATCTCATAGGCTTGCGAATCAGAGGACTTGGTGATGAAGATGATGATGTGCCAAATCTAAGGAGCCCAACTTCAATGAACCCACTTCAGAGCAGATTTAATCAAGTGAATGATATCTTAGACAAAAATATTGATGAGGTGAGTTTTCAATTTTTGTTGGTAATTTTCTTGTACCCCATGGACCCTATATTTTAGTTTTGGTACATGTGTAATTTTTCATGTTTCTCTCTAAAAGGTTGGTTCATCATTGTCTAGACTGAAGGGTCTTGCTCAAGGATTGGGTGAAGAAATTGAGTCTCAGAATGATCTTATTGATAGAATACATGATAAAACTGACAGAGCTGAAGTGACAGTTACACGTCAGAATAGAGAAATGAAACGTCTGCTGAAATAAATCTGTCGCAAAACTAAAATTACTTTTCCTTTTGTTAAAATTGTAATTTTCTTGGTGTGGTCATTTCAGAAAAAAGTAGTTCTAGTATGTCCTCCGAAATACTCTTGTATCATGATTGGCCTATTGTAATATCTTTGCACTACTTGTTTCATCACATTTTAGTTAGTTTTTCTTAAAGTAATTGGTACGTACTCAGTCACATTGAGATTCATGACACTTGTGATAAAAAATTAGTTGGTATTGTAATGTGTACTACCATCTGTTTAACAACTTCTTCAAAAAAAGAATTTGTATGGAATCAATTGTCTTTCTTCCTAGAGATCAAACTTGAGATTGATGTCTTACAATAAATGTATTTAATGATATAGGAACTTTATATGTATTTTTTGCTGGTATGTTAGTAACCAAAGATTAAAGAAGTGGAGAGCAACTCACTACAATATATTAAGTTCATCCTTAACATTTAAGTTAGTGAAGAGATTTACTGAGAATGATGCTGTTGTAAATGATTCTTTACTTATCTGTCCTGTTTGATTATTTTTCTACCCTGTTTAAAGCAAAAGTGTTGTTCCCTGTTTGAAATCACATTTGTTGTGTTCATTTTTGTATATTTTCATCTGCACATCCTGTCAAGATGTTTTTGAATTAAGTGTGACACAATCAACCAGGTTACTCACAAATCTGTGCGAATTTGTTAGAGCTATGTTTTTATTCTATCTATATGTTTAAATATATATTTTTTTTTACACAAAATTACTCGTGTAATTCTGCTTCTGTTCTTAAACCTTTAATTTTCAACTTGTGCAGGGCTCATTCCCTTCTGCTACGCACGACACACTCTAAAAAGTTCCTTGAACCGAGGGAAGTTCCTCCGTCTAGGAGAAGCTGCTCTCTTTACGATGTACGCCGTACATTTAGGCAACCCATCACACATTTAAACATCCTTCTGACGTATGAAAAATCGACAAACCTGATTGCGTTTGTAATACTTTCTCATCTTCATGTGAAACTGACGGGAATTTTTAAAAAATACATTTTTGTGAACTTAAGCAGGATCCTTTTGTAGTGCATTTTTTTAATAATGCGCGGAAATTCTTCATCGTTGACAAGGCATGTGGAAATATACCGTGACTGCAAGCACGTTGTTAAAAGAAGAAAATGTTTGTGACCGTTGCTTTGTTGGGTGCGACACCTAGCGCTCCTAGTGGCAAGGACGTGAAGCAGTGGAATATCCTGACAAGCGAAGGAAGGACCCACCCCACCCTACTCTTGGGTGAATGGTGGAGATAGGAAGAGCAGTAGTGTCGTAAGCGGTCTTGAGTCATGCGTGTTGATATTTATTTTTAAATGTTTAAGCTCCTGTGGGAATGAAAACGAGTTCACCGATCATATCAACCGCCCGTTACCTCTCTTTCAAAGGAGCAGCATTCTTACAGCCTTCGACTGTATGCGCTCCTGAATTTATCAATGGCTTCTATCTGTTATTTTACGACGAACCCTGTGTAGTTGACCCCGGATCAAGCGGTGTGCTCGGCGTAGCCTGGCAGAGGCCTATCCAAAATGGCCTCGCACTCTAGCGCAAATAAATTAGAATGCCAGGCTACATCTTCCAAGTCACCCCAGCACCAAAAAGGAGCTGGGTCTAACTTTGAACCTTTGGATAAAGCGGCGAGCAACACTCTAAAAGTAAGTTCGCGTTCAGCACCTTGCTGTGTTCGTGCCCGTGTCTCCGGCTAGATACCGTCCTTTGTTTATGTTCACATCCTCCCCTTTTGAGCAAGTCAGAATTACTGTGACAGCCTCTTTTACAAATAATATTGTTTTAAAGTTGCAGCAGTTCCGTTCTGCTTAACTTTGTCATTAAGCTACCATCAATGAATTGTCAATACAATAAATAGCACTGACCAGCCTCACTCCCCTTTTTGATTCACTCACATTCGTTATAGATATTTTCAATTCATCTTTTACTGTTCTTTTAAAAAAAAATATTCCTTAAGATTTTAAACAAATTACAGTTTTCTAGTCATATTATGATTGTATAAAAGGTTATGTACTCCTCTGTCACCAAAGGATGCCTATGCTTATTTTTAGTCTGCATGACATCACCATTGCTGAAACTCAGTGACAGGTCACTTTTTGACTTCTTTCATATCAATTTAAATTTTTTTCAGCGAAATCCAAAGATGGAGCTAAGCAAACAAGAATTATTAAAATTATTAAGCTACCTAGAAGGTGAATTAGAAGCTAGAGAAATAGTTATAGCGGCTTTAAAGGTAAGTCTCTTTTTTTTTTCTCACACTATAATGCACCATTTATGAAATTAACTAAATTTAATTTTTTCAGTCTGAAAAAGTTAAGCAACTTGTTCATCAAAGCAGACACAGGCCAGGTACAATTACACAATCACATTTAGCTTTACAACAAGACAGCTTTGCTGTGCCAGATTCACGTCTAGGCCTAGATTGTCTATTAGCAGACCATCAGATGGCTTCTTTAGACAATGTCATACTGCAGCACAAACAATCTCAGTTACGAATGGCAAAAATGCTGAGAGATATGGAACTACGTCATCTGAAGGTAAGTTTTACCTTCCACTTTATCAGTTTTGCAATTGTGAAATTAAATTCATTACACAGCAATATGCTTCTTTAAGGTTGTGCAAGAGCTGGATGAGGAGAAAAGGAAACATGAACATGATACAGCCCAAGGAGATGATATTACTTACGGATTAGAGAAGGAAAGAACGAGATTAAAACAGGTCAGCTTCTTTCACTTTTCCAGGTACTACTGACTTAATATTTACGTGACTCAAAAATTTCTTTTCTATGTCACAGGAATTAGAATTGGAAAAACAAACAAGAAAAAAGCAGGAGAAGGATCTGAAAAAGGCTAATGACATTTTAGAGGAAGAGAGGAACCGTCAAAAGCAAATTGTCTTATTACTGCTTGCCGAAAGAAAAAAGCTCATTATGAAATATGTTGAGGAACGGAAGCGTTCTGAGGATTTGGCTCAGGTAAAGCTGCCTTATTTTAATTTTCAAAATAAATGAATCTGTATTGTACTTCATATTTTTATTGTCATGTTATGGTCTGTCATTTTGTATACAATCCATTTCTCTTAATTCTAGATTGTTAGTGAGGAAAAGGTGCAAATGAATGCCATGGCAGATGGTCTTGAAGAGGAAAGTAAAAAGTCTCTCCAAATGGAAGCTGAACTTGAAAAGCATATGGCTCAATTTGACTTGGAAAGGCAGCACTTAAAACAACAACTGCAGCGAGAACAAAGAAGGCAAGTTTATTGTTCCACAATTATCTAACATAATAGTGCAGGGTGACAACAATGTGGTTACACTTTGCTGGATGGGCCAAACCGTAGAAATCCCTCTTGCACTAAATGTGTCAAATCGGAGACCACTCAGTAAATTTTATTAATACCACCTTTTCTATTTGCAGAATCTCTGAACTGGAAGGCGAATTGGAGAAATCCAAGACAGACCTATTATCCGCCAATAAGCAATTAGCTGAGGCTCACCAAGTCGCAATGTTCCAAGCTTCAGTTAATACACCTCGACCTGGTGTAGTTGGCACTGTTCTCCATAAACCAGTCCCTCAACCACCCGGTTAGTTTCTGGTGTAGAAGACAAAGAAACCTTTTTAAATTTATTTTTCTGTATTGTAAACATACTTACTTTTATCTGAAGGTGCATCTAAAGGAGTGCCTTGGTCGGGTCTAGCTGATGGTGATGCAGGAGCCCAAACTGGTTCACCCATGTTGAGTAGTGTTGCCAAAGTTGTACAACCCACTGCTACAGTTTCAAGCGTACCTGTTTGTGCTCCCAGTAAGGATTAAATTAATTTTTTTTCCAATGAGTAATAGGGAACATCCACTGATCGTATCATTTTTCTGTTAGCTACAGGTATTGCAAGGTCAGTGTCCCCTGGTCAGAGTGCAAGAACTGCACTTTTTTCTCCAAACTCAGCAACATCACCCGCGTCTCAAGATGCAGATCAGACAAACACTGTATGTTGCTCACACAATTAATGCCTTTGGTTTGTTCTCACCACCAAGTTGTACTTATGCTAGGTATTATGTTTCCGTGCAAGGTTTCCCCTCGACCTGGCCACGCTCCCACCCCTGGTGCGAAGCTCTACGCCACATCAGCTGGGGGTAAACTAACTTTCCACGTGTCAGCGGCTGCTGCGGCTGCGGCCGAGGCGGCTGCTGCCAACGAAAGCGCCACCCCTACTGGTCAGCCTCAACCCCCGCCCAAGAAAACAGCCCTGGGGAGAGGGGTTCCTCCACCTGTTCCACCAAACAAACCAGTGGTCCCTCCCAAAAAGGATTCCGTGGTTGGGCGGAAAGTGGATGGAGGACTGGATGGTGCCACACCAGGGGCTAAGCTCAGTCTTGTCAGCAAAGACAAAGCCCCGCAGGTGGGTCGCGAGCCGAGTATCGGCCCGACAGTTTGTGGTGTTGATAGTTTGCATGCCACTGCTGCCATCGCTGCTACTGCACCTGCACGCCAGGCCTCTTCGCACACTCCCTCTGCTAGCAGTGGCGAGTCTTCAGGTAATACACCAAGAGTACGCACCAAACGTGACTGATTATAGGTCTTGCAGTTTCATTTACTCTTACTCAAAAGAGTTAATATGTTCTTGTTTTTTAATCTAAAGTTAATTAGACAAGTGCAGACTGACCTTTCTTCAGGTCTTTTTAAGCAACAGTAACTGTTTAAGCAACATCATGAATGAATGGCAGATCCTAATAAAGAATTGGCCATACATTCTTGTTCTGGTATTGTTTTATTGTTACTTCATCAACTATTTTGAAATTTTGAATCAATACAAATTTGCCTTTGTATAGGATTGTTGAGACCAAATCTGATCTGTGTTCAGAAACCCTGGTGCATAACTGTGTTAAGTATTGCATTCCTCCTGCCTTCAGCCAGCTTATTTGCATTGATCTCCAACTATGATTCATCTATATTTTGCTCGGATTTTCTTTTGTTGTGTGCCGTAGTGTTTTAGCAAATGGGATTTTATGCAATAAAACGGGACTTGAACGCCAAGCATAAGGTATCTAGTATGTAGAGTTGGCTCATGCACTTAGTATGGTTATTGCTACTGTTATTCTGTAAATACCTAGTTTACCGTATACCTTTTAGGATTCCCTCCCTGTAGTGGAAAGCAGTATTTTATTCATGGTGATAGCTTTTGAAATATAAGTTCTCATAGTTATTTAATGTTGTCATATTTAGTTGTATTGATCTATGCTTCTCTTTTGAAGTCCAAAGTATTGTAATTGTCACATACCATCAGCATTACTGTCTACATCTAATGAAGTAACTTTTATGTTTTCCGTGTTTTCAATCTTGTGCCTCCTTCAACTTTATGTTTTTATCGTTCCCCCCAGGTCCCGTTGACGTAAATAGTGCTGCCCTTGTCTCCAATGAAGCATCACTCGGTGCTCCTGTAGTCCCAGTCATCAACGCTCCGTCACCCGTTGCTTCACCTGACCTCACTACTGTACTCCATAGCAGCCCTGACCATGCCCCTGTGGTTGCTGCAACCACCTCGTCCCACCAGAATCACCCTCCCACTGCAGCTGATGCTACTCCTCCTGCCGCACCTCCATCCATCAGCAATGCTGCACCAGCGCCATCAGCTTCTCTGACCGTCCTGCCAGATCTTTTACCCGAATGGTGAGCATTTTTGCTGCGATTCTTAGTGCAGTTTTCTAACCAGTTGCGGTTTTCGGTCAAAGTATAGTATTTTAGTACCACTTTCTATTATTTGCCTAAATTTGTTGTCTACATTATAGCTGAATTTTCTCAATTTTTTAGTGTCTCTAATAATCTGGACCCATGCAGTCGACCTCAAATGCAGCCAGAAATATGTATTACTCCAAAGGTAAAATTCTATTAAAAAAAACAGACAGCAATATAGAGTTTTAGAATCTTATTGTAGATTAAGCAAATGTACTAACCCCTTAATTTTTTTGTTTTGAATGATAGGTGGATGCAGTTTGAAGTTCTGCTCGGGAATAGGATCTGGTTGCTGAATCACTGTTGGCAGAAATTGGTGCCCTGTAGCACAGAAGAGTTTGGCTTTGAATGAAGCACGAATGCTGTTCCACCCACACCCAGAGAACCAATTTCTGCTTCAGGAGCAAAGCTATCATGTAAACTCAGTAAGTTGCGCTTGTGGTTGTAGATAAAGCAGAGAAAGCTGAACAATTTCACACACAAAAAAAAACAAAAAAAACACAAAAGTTATGGCTGACCTCATAGACAAAGTACAAATTTTAAAGAAATGTATTTTGAATAAAAGCAGAACTTGCTGGCTGGTTTTTTGTTGTTGTTTCTTCTTGTCACAGGAAAAACCAGTCAGTGACTTATCTGTGTGAGGAAGTTAAATATTAGTCCTTTACCGGATGCATTTTGTGTGGAGCTTGATGATTTCCCCTTCCCTTCCTTGCGCCCTCCATTTTCTCTCTGTAAAATCATGTAGTGTGATTGAGCGAGTTCATTTCCATGAATATAGGTTTTATGAACTGTCCTAGACTGACATGCAGAGAAACTGTTTTGTAGTGAAATGCTTTTAGAAATTTCCTAATTGCTGTTGATGTTTGTTGTTATGACAAGACAAGGCATAGTATAGTATCAATGAATGTTCCCTAGTTTAAAATATTGGTCAGAACCATGAACTTGATGCTCATTTACCTTAAGATGAAGATTTCTGAGTGATTATTTGCAATATTATTTTCTTGTTTTTGTCATAATATTTTGAAGGCTGTTAGAACTACCTTCCTTTGTTCATTTTTCTAATTTTGATGATACCAATCTGTTTGGTAAATTTGCTTTGTTAATATGTTCAGTATTATGTTGATTATGCCTTATACATGCTTAAACAAGTCTACCTTTCAGAATGAATTGTAAACCTACCTAATTCATTTTAGTTACTACAGAGTTTTACCATAAATTGTAGATATCTGTTAGTGACAAGTGATTTGCAGGAACTTAATGTATCTTAAACATACAAATGTTAAACTATTCTTTTATCTTTTTTTAACTTGAAGAAAAAATATTCTTTTTATGGATTATGTAAAGCAAGTTGCCCACTGTCTGCTCTGTTGTCTTTTCTGTTTTAATTTTTTCTTAAAATTGAGAAACTTCTTGAGAGGATTATGCTGTTTTAAAAGTTTATTTGGGTCATAAAGTGGCTTAAAATCATGAAAATGTACCTTATCTTCTTAGATGCAGAATTGTGCATTCCAATTTTTGTACAATTTTCCCCCCCTTTACAAGCTAGCTTACAAAGCGATGAGTTCCATCCATTATTGACTAGCAGTAAAACTACAAACTGGAATCTAGATTATCTTGTGAAAATCTTGTACAATATTGTAGCAGCTTATTTAATTCTTTTAGAAAAAAAAACACAGCCCTGTGACTGATAACAATATTTGTATCTATATTTTTTTTATTTTTTGGTGTGTGTAATCTTTTAGCTACACTGTTCTTCTCCAGAAACATAGGCTTTCTAGTCAAAACTCACCCAACTTTATCCTCTCATAGCTTTAGAAGTTTGTTTACTGAAGTTAAGTCTTTAAATCAATTGCATTTTATTTGACTGTGAGTGGACTCATGGTTCATTGATAGTGAATTAATTCAATTGAAGCCTTTTGTTAATTGACCCTGACCTGTCTATTTTCATTTCATGACATGTTCCAGAAAGCTTCATTGTTGTTAGTCCACTATACTAATTTGTCAGACATAAGATGCTGTTTGATTTGTTGTCTGTTACATTTTATCTGATAATGTGGTAGTGCTGTCATTTTTCTATTTTCCACTTTAGGAGTGGGGAATCTTTCTGATTTTAAATCCTAGGTAATTCAT